CCTTCGGGTTGGGTTGGGGTGGTTTGGTGGGTGGTGAATGCGGAGCAAGAGCTGCTGTCCCCCGGAGCCCCTCTGACAGCAACTCGTCACTTCGGCGAGTCTATGCTGCAAGAACGGCAAGACTTGCTGCTCGACGGACCCCGAAGGACAGCAAACGATCAGCCCCGCAGGGTCTATTCATCAGTCCCGGGAGGGGGATCACCCAGTTGTTCATCACAAGCTGGCGTTACGTTGCCCCCGAACTGGTAAGCTTTCGGGCTGCGCACAGGCAGCCCCCACAGGTAAATTTGGTCGGTGATCTTCTGACCCAGGTCAATCCAGACCCGGGTCAGCAGGAAACCAAAAACTGCAATGCAGGAAAAAAAAATGCACCGCAGGTCTTCGCAGACCCGGGTCAGCCAATACGCGCGGCCGCCTCGCGGCCACGAGCGGCTCCCTAACCCAGGTCAGCCAGAGGGGGTCTTCGCAGGATCCTGCAGGATCCGGCGCCCTGGATGACCCCCGTCTGCACTGACCCCCGTCTCTTAGGCCCCCGAACAGACCCCCAGGTGGCCTCCACGGGCCCCCCGAGCGCAACCCGGGGCGATCTCCACGCCCCGGCGGCGCTCCTGGGGCGCTCCGAGGCCAGAGGGGGCGGAGGCGTCGAGACCGCCCCGGGTGACTCGGGGGGCCCGCTGAGGCCACCTGGGATCGGGAGCGGCCAAGAGGGGGGTGTCCAAGAGGGGGGGGTGCAAATCATGGCCGGCGGCATGTGCGCGGCGCAGCGGGGGGGCCAGGGACGTAATGGAATGAGAAGGGACGCCATGAGATCTGGGGAAATATCATGGCCCCCACCATGACATCCACCCCCCCCCCTAGTCAAGACCCCCCTCTTTTCCGCCCCTGAGCCACCTGGGACTGACTGCTCGAAACGAGCCTGCGGGCCGGCACTGCTGCCTGCGAGGGCCGTCTGCGCGCGACGCGACAGCGCACCAGGCACCGCCGCCGCCGTCGCGGGGGGGCCAGGGACCCCGACCTTCCGGGAGGGCTAAAAAAATAGCACCCGGACAGCGACTTCCTGCTTGCTGTCGAGGCCTGAGGCAGCCCAGACAGGTCTATATCGGCGGCGATGATAGGGGCGAATAGCCCAGGGGCAGGCAATACACGTATTCGCCCGGGAGCCTTTTCGAAGACATAGATCATCGGCGCACATGAATACATGTATTGCTCTCCCCTGGGCTATTCTCCCCTATTTTGTGGGCACTCTGGAGGGTCAGGGGCACGCCCTCCCCAGACCCCCGACTACGATTTCTTCTCAGCGTCGACCCCCAGAGGTCTCGACCCCTTCCCCCGGACCGGCTGTACATCCGGAGGGCCGCCTTCTGACAGTCCCGAGAGGCACATGCGAGGGGCCCCCCAGAGGCCGAAAGCAGCGAAAAAACCTCCCGACACGACTTTTGCTCACGACGCGAGGGGGTCCAGGTCCTGGCCCTATGATTATTTGGCGGCCGGCGAGGGGGGGAAGTGAGAAGGAGAAGCCCTTCTCAGAAGGCGGCGGGACTTCTCAGAAGCCCCCGCGCCCGCGCCTTCTGAGAAGTTGCTCCTGTCTTCGGGGGAGGCTCAGAAAACCTCTCAGAAGGCTGGGGGGGGACTTCCGAGCCTCCTGAAAAAGGCCTTCCCCTTCTCACTTACCCCCCCTCGCTCGCCGCCGACTGGTGGCGCGGTCCCCCCCCCGCGTTGTGCGGCCTTCCGCCCAGGGCTGTCTCCGGGCTCCCCCCCTCGGGGGGGGGCCGGCGCGTCGGCACTCCGGAGATGGAGCCCTGCGGCGCGGTGCCCCACAGCAGGGAGGAGGCCCCGAGCAGTGCAGCTGTTCTCTGCCCGGGAGCCCTTTCCCTGTCCTCGGGTCGGGGAGACGTACGTCACCAGCCTCGAACTTATCCCTATCCCTAAGATTGGCACGCTAAAAGGAGACGACAATCTTAGGGAGACACCCTCAGATACTGAGGAAATCCCTAAGATCGCCATCGTGATGAGGCGATACCCAACATAGGGATAGGGATATGTCCCAGGCTGGTAAGTACGGTCAGCCCGTACAGGAAGGATGCGCGATGAGGATATGAAAGGGCCTCGGGGACACAATTCTTGGCGGCGCGCAGAACGGGGGAAGGGGGAGGGGGGAGGGGCTTCTTAGAAGGAGGCTGCTTCTTAGAAGGCGCCGGCCTTACATCTACAAAGAAGGCCCGCGCCTTCTAAGAAGCAGGGGTGCTTCTAAGAAGCCTTCCCCCCTCCACCTACCCCCTTCTGCGCGGAGCCAGAATTCGAAGCACTTCGAGCGGGGCGCGGCCAATGGCGGTGGCCAAGGATGGACCGAAAAGGCAAGGATGCAAAGGAATCGCCTTGGGAAGGGTGCCCATCCTTACTGTGCGGGTCGACTGCACTCTGCCCGGAGGCCCTTTCCTGTCCTCAGGTCGGGGAGTCGTACGACTCGGGCTCGGGGGACTCGCGTCGGCCCGACGGGGCCGTCAGGAAAATGACGGAACCCGGTCTGAGATTTGACGCGAGCTCCCGCTGCAAACATCCCACGAAAACCTCACCGTCAAAACCCAGGACGGACTCGGCGAAAGGCGTCGGCAAGCCCTGGTTCTAGCGAGCTCGACATCTTAGGCTTTCCAGATCAAGGCCCCACCCCCGGAGCCCTATCTTTAGGTCGGGCCTGTCCCCCTACAGGGGAATGGTGGGCGAAAAACGACAAAAAATACTCCAAATTTACCCCAAAATAATCCAAATACGAATGATACTACAAATAGAAATAATAATAATGATGATAATAATAAGAAGAAGAAGAAGAAGAATATTATTATTAATAATAATAATAGTAGTAATAATGATAAATAACAATGATAATACTAATAATAAAGGTAATAAGAATATGATGATAATGATACTGTTGATACTAAAACATAAAAACAACAATAAGAAGAAGAAGAATCGCAAGCATTAAAAAACAAAAAAAAACTGATACTAAAAATAATAATAGTCATCATCATCAGCAGCAGCAGCAACAGCATCATCATCATCATCATCAGCAGCATCATCATCAGCATCATCATCATCAGCATCAGCAGCATCATCAGCATCAGCATCATCATCTGCATCATCATCATGATCAGCATCATCATCATCATCATCACCACCACCATCATCATCATCAGCAGCAGCAGCATCATCATAAAGTCCCGATCATAGGTTTGACTATGTTGAATATATCTCCTGTAGAGGGACAGGCCCGCCTGGGGAAACAGGTCCTGGGGGAAACGGGGCCCTCGACCCGAGGGCCTTCCCTCAGGACGAGATCTTCATCCTGAGTCGTCTTCTGACAGTCCTGGGGCCCATGGAGGGCCACGGGGGCCCGAAAACGGCGAAAGAAACCTGAGAACCCGTTTCCCTCAGGACCCGCTTCCTCCATGGCGAGTCTCGGCGGCAAGCGAGGGGGGGAGGTGAGACGGAGCGGGCCTTCTCAGAAGCACTCGGAAGTTCCCCGCACAGAAAGCTTCTCAGCGGAAGGCGCGAGGGCTTCTCAGAAGTCCAGCCGCCTTCTAAGAAGGCCCTCTCCTTCTCACTTCCCGCCCCCCTCCTCCTCCGCCTCCTCCTCCTCCTCCTCCTCCTCCGCCTCCTCCTCCTCCTCCTCCTCCTCCTCCTCTCCTCCTCTCTCCCTCCTCCTCCTCCTCCTCCTCCTCCTCCTCCTCCTCCTCCTCCTCCTCCTCCTCCTCCTCCTCCTCCTCCTCCTCCTCCTCCTCGCTCGCCGCCGAGAACCTTCGAGCCCCCGAGCGTGGGGCCCCCTCGCTCGCCGGATGGCGGCCCGCAGGCGGCGGAGGTGCCGCCCCTCGCCCCCTCCAGCAGACGGGCAGCTCCCCCAGCAGCACCGGCCCCACGGCCACGCGGTGGAGGCCCCGCAGGCTCACAGAGGAACCAACAGCGGCACGAGCATAAACCTCTTAGAGGTCCGCGCGGATTGCTTGGACCCGCGCCGAGCCACCCCCCCCCCCGGGCGCGCCCGGGGCGGCGCCAGAGGCTCCGCCAGGGGGGAGCCCAGCGCGGATGCAAGGATATCCGCGCGGAGCGCCAAGAGCTTATGCGTTATGCCGCCGTTTCTTCTTCGAGCTCAGGCCCGCGCGCGCGAACAGGCGCCGGATCTGGCGGTTGCGGCCTTCGGAGATCGCGACCTCGATCTCCGTCAGGTCCAGCGGGCACGGCCGGGCCGACCCCTGGCAAGCCTCGAGCAGGGGACCGCCTCCAGAATTGAGTTATCCCAGAGTTGACTTGATCGTCGAATCTACGACACATGCATAGAATCATCGTAGATCTACGAACAGTGTACGCGTTTGTTTTGTAGATTCGACGAGAAAGGCATGTCTGGGGAAAATCAATTCTGTAGTCGATCCCCTACTCGAAAATCATCCCCTTCCGCGGCGTCATCCGCGCCTTTCGAGCTTCCCTCTGGTCGCATACATACGTCTTAGGGCGAGGCGAGGGGGACGTCACGGCAGGGGATTGTCTGGCAGGGTTACTAGGTCGGGCACGTCCTCCTAGAGGCGGATTTTGGAAGAAAAACTAGAAAGAGTCAACAACAACAACAAGTGGCAACAGTTTCGCAGATCGCAGACCCCCCCAGGGACGGCGAGGTCTCGCGGGAGACAGGAGGCGGGCGGCAGGAGGTGGGAGGAGGAGAAGGGAGACGCGACCGCGGTGCCCTATTCAAAACGAATGCCCTACCAAGGAGGGTTGGGAAATATTCAAGAATAGCCCAAGTAGCCGAAAAATCGCCCCCTGACTATGTTTAAGATATTTCTGAATACTCCTCCTGCAGAGGGACATGCCCGCCTTACTGCCAGGGGTCGGCGAGGCCGCCCCCGCGTCTCCGGCGCTCGGCGGCGCTCCCGGCGGCACAGGGTCCCGCCAGCGCCGGACCACGCGGGCCCCGGCGGGCCGCGTCAGGACGTCGGTCGAACCGCCCTTCTCGGCTACACGCTGGAGCGACCCTGGGCCGACTACCTACCAGACCATCCCGACCCAGCCCGAAGACTCGGATTTCGGGTTGGGGTACCCTGACCTTCCAGGAGGGCTAAAAAATAGCACCAGGACATCGACGTCCTAATTCCTGTCGAGGTTTGAGGCAATCCAGATAGATCTATAGGTCTGGAGTGCTATTTTGTAGCGCTCTGGAAGGTCAGGGTAGGAGGTGCGGGGTTCATGCGCGTTTTGTTCGATGTTCCCCGAACCCCCCCCCACCGGAAATGGAGGGCAAGTCGGGGCCTTCGGGTTGGGTTGGGGTGGTTTGGTGGGCGGTGAAAGTAAGAGTGACCTTTGGTGCGCGGGTTTGTGGGGGCCGCGGGGGGACCAGACGCAAGCGCGCAAGACGCCACTATCGCGTCGCGTTCGGCGATCGGGGGACACCCCTGGGCCCGCACCAGAGGTCACTCCGGCGACAGCTCACTCTTGCGTCCAGTCGGCCTTTGGCGACCGCACGACCATGGCCAGCGGGGCGCGCAGTGAGGCGAGGCGCTCGTCACCGTCCCACAGGCGGCCGGCACAGATCGCCCGGTAGCGCTTCTGGAGCTGGGCCCCGGGGGAGCATAGCGCGAGGTGCATCGGGCGGTAGTTCGAGAAGACCACCAGCCCCGAGGTGGCCAGGTCGAGCCGCCCGATCAGGCTGAGCCGCCTCGTGCAGGCTCCCGGCGGAGCACCACCCAGACGCCGCAGGGCCTGCTCGAAGAGGTCCCACACAGAGACGGCGCCTGGGACGGGCTGGTTGGGCTGGCTCGAGAAGCCCGCCGGCTTGTGGAAGGCGCTCGGTGGCAACTCATGGGAGCCTCCAATACAATCTTGTCGGCTCTTGCGCATCGACGCTGGCCGACGCTACACCGACGCTGATCGACGCGAGATCGGCGCTCATCGGCGCTGAACGAGGCGCCAAATCGGCGCCATCTCATCGACTCCCAGACGCTAGTCGACGCTGAAGACGGAAGCACGAGGGCACACGAGGCTCGGGAGCGGCCAAGAGGGGGGTGTCCAAGAGGGGGGGTGCAAATCATGACCGGCGGCATGTGCGCGGCCCAGCGGGGGGGCCAGGGACGTAATGAAACAAGAAGAGGCGCCATGAAATCTTAAAAATATCATGGCCCCCGCCATGATATCCACCCCCCCCTAGTCATCACCCCCCTCTTTGCCGCCCCCGACACACGAGGCTCCTATGACCTGCTACCGAGGAAGGCGTAGTGCAGCGGGAAGGCCAGGGGCCGGGACGCGCCGAGGGCGCCCCAGGCGCAACGCCGCGCCGCCGACCTCGCCACGGCCATGCAGGTCCGGCCCGGGGCTGACTGCCTACCAGACCACCCCCACATCCCGACCCGAAGACCCGAAATTGACCCGAATGTCGGGTGGAGGGGGGGGGGGAGGGGAATTTGCAGGCTCCATGTGTCTTTGCCGCCGTGTTCCCCGACCCCCCCCCCCCTCCCCCCACTTAAGGGGGGCCACATGCGAACCCTACCCCCACCCCCCCACCACCACCCCTCAGAAATCGTGGGGGGGTAGGGGTAGGGTTCGCATGTGGCCCCCTACCACTGGAAACGGAGGGCAAGCGGAAGCCTTCGGGTGGGGCGGGACTCCTCAGAGGCCCTCGCGCCTTCTGAGAGGTGTTTGTTCTGTCTTCGGGGAGGGCTCTGAAAACTTCTCAGAAGGCCGGGGAACTTCCGGGACTTCTGAGCAGGCCCGCCCCTCCTCCCTTCCCCCCCATCGCTCGCCGCGGACGAGCGGAAGCCTTCGGGTGGCGCTGGGGTGGCTTCGTGGGCGGTGACTGGGGCAAAAAGAGAGAGCGAGAGCACTAAAAAATATCAGCCGAGGCGGAGGCGCTTGAAGGCGACTGGAACTGCACGGCGAGGATGCCCGCCCCCCCCCCTAGCGCGTGCGTTTCGGATTCCCTTCGGGGATCCTCCGTGAAAGGGCGGGGTCCGGCGGCAGCGGGCCCCGCGCCCCCCGGGGGGGCCCTCCCCGCAGGGAAGGGGCGGCGGGGCGCACACGCGCGCCCGGCGGGCCCGCGCCCTCGCGGCCTGCCTGTCGGGGGCGCGGTGCCGCTGACTACGTACCAGACCAGCCCAACCCAACCGGAAGACCCGAATTCCGGGTTGGGGGGGGTAAGGGTTCCACATGTGTTTTTTCGATGTTTCCCGACCCCCCCCCACTGGAAATCGAGGGTAAATCTGAGCCTTCGGGTTGGGTTGGGGTGGTTTGGTGGGTGGCGAGCCGCGGAGGCGCGGTCGCAGGGACCCAGACGTACAGTCAACAAGGGATTGTGGACGAAAAACCCAAAACTTCCCAAAAAGTATTCAAACATTGCGCAAAAGAGATCCAGAAATCGTCCCCAGACTATGCTTTTTCGATTTCTGAATATTCCTCCTGTAGAGGGACAGGCCCGACTTAAGCCTACAGGCCCACAGCTGACAGGGCGGAAGCGTGAGGAGGGCGGTGGGCTGGAGGCGAAGGTGACGACAGTCGGCCCGCATCAGAAGGATGCGCGACAAGGATGCAAGGGCCTTGGAAGGCCACGTCGAAGCTCTTCGAGCGGGGCGCGGCCCACGAAAGTGGCCGAGGGTGGGCCAGAGGGACAAGGGTGCGAGGGTATCCTTCGGAAGGTTGCCCATCCTTACTATGCAGGTTGACTGTACGGTGTTCCAACCTATTTTAGCGCTGATCACCAGAAAGAACTCCGAGCACAAAGAAAGCACCGAGACTGGAGGGTTCTCGCGTGCCAGGCCCTGGGAGGCGATACTCGTTTGACACTGTTTCGATGCTGTTCTGGGTGCTCGAAATTATATCTGGGATGTGATCCTCAAGTACGATGGGAGCAACATAAACCCAGACATCCAGACGTTCCACCACTTCCCCGGGGCCGCTTTCTCGTCCTGAGTCGTTGCTTGACGCTCCCGAAGCCCGGCGAGGGCCCCCAGAGGCCGAAGACGGCAACAATCCCGCCGCTCCAATTTTTTAGGTGTGGGCGTCACGCCCGTTTCGGCACACACACACACACACACACCACACGCTTCGTGGCCCATAGGGAGCTCCACCGAGTGCCTCGGCGGCGCAGTTCGCATGCGGTTCACCGCCCATTTCGGCACACCCCTCACACGTGTCGTGGCCCGATAAGGAGCGTAAACGACTGCCTCCGTGGCGCAGTTCGCATGCGGTTCCCCAGAAATTTCGGCACACCACTGACACGTTTCGTGGCCCCATAGGGGGCTCCATCTGAGGCCCCCGTGGCGCAGTTCGCATGTGGGCGTCACGCCCGTTTCGGCACTCCCCTCACACGTTTCGTGGCCCTGTAGAAAGCTCCACCGAAAGCGATTGCGGCAACGAGGCACTCAACTGCATATGATTGGGTCCTTCGTCAGGATAACTCAATGTTCTCCGTCGTAAGAAACGACGGAGAGCTCACAGAGCACTCCCAAGAGAACCCCAAGAGGGCCAAATCAACGATGTTATGCCAGTTTGTGAATGCTTTTCGTCGTCGCCGTGGTCGTCGTAGTCGTGGTCGTGGTCGTTGCCGTGGTCGTGGTGGGGGGCGCAGCCGTAATCGTCGTCGTCGTCGTGGTTCGTCGTCGTCCTTCATGGTCGTCGGCACCACCGGTCGTAAGGCCTTCGCAATAAGTGTGTGCACACTCATTGATGTCCACAGTGCTTTTTAAAGGTGTCATACTAAGCATGGGAATCCGATGTGTTTCGACCTGACGTCTCGATTTGCGTGAGAAGTGAGTTCGACGATCAGATGTCTGCTCTGTCCCGAGCGAAGCGGCTGGCTAAAAAAAGCGCGGACGACACAATAATCGCCTCTGAGCTCTACTCCCTCGAAGAGGTGCGTATGGAAATGTGTGTCAACACACACCTGTTAAAACACGCACCTGATACATGTAAGGTGGTTGTGGTGATTCCTCGCGCCATCCTGTTAAATTTAAGTCGGGCGTGTCCCTCTACAGGAGGAATATTCACAAATAGTAAAAAAAATCCTGGCGAAGGTCCCAACCATATGCAGTTGTGGGTACCGTACTTGTGAATATCTGCTTCGGTGAAGCGCACCTGTGGGGCCACGAAGCGCCGCACTGGGCGGGGGGGAACGCTGTACTGTGTGGGTGGTGTGCCGAATTGGGTTTCCGGGACGCATGCGGACGGTCCCACTGAGGGCTTCGGTGGAGCTCCCTATGGGGCCACGAAGCGCTCTACTGAGCGAGTGAAAATGCCAAATTGGGTTACCGGGACGCATGCGGACGGTCCCACTGGGGGCTTCGGTGGAGCCCCCTATGGGGCCACGAAACGCTGCACTGCGCGGGTGAAAATGCCAAATTACATTTCCTGGACGCATACGGACGGTGGCACTGGGGCCTTGGGTGGAGCCCACTATGGGCCCACGAAACGCTGCACTGGGTGGGTGAAAATGCCAAATGGGGCTTCCGGGACGCATGCGGACAGGGGCACTGGGGCCTTCGGTGGAGCTCCCTATGGGGCCACGAAACGCTGTACTGGGTGGGTGAAACGCAGGGAGGAGGGGGAGGAGGGCCACGAAACGCTGTACTGGGTGTGCGGGACGCATGCGGACGGTAGCGCTGGGACCTTCGGTGGGGCTCCCTTCGGGGCCACGAAACGCTGTACTGGGTGTGTGGGACACATGCGGACGGTTGCACTGGGACCTTCGGTGGAGCTCCCTATGGGACCACGAAACGCTGTACTGGGTGGGTGAAACGCAGGGAGGGGAGGAGGGCCACGAAACGCTGTACTGGGTGTGCGGGACGCATGCGGACGGTAGCACTGGGACCTTCGGTGGAGCTCCCTATGGGGCCACGAAACGCTGTACTGGGTGTGCGGGACGCATGCGGACGGTAACACTGGGACCTTCGGTGGGGCTCCCTATGGGGCAACGAAACAGTGTACTGGGTGTGCGGGACGCATGCGGACGGTAGGGAGGAGGAGAGGGGCAAGAGAGGAGGAGAACGCGGGGACCGTCTCTTCAAAACGAGGACCCAACACCACAGGATGGTTGGGAAAAAATGTGGGGACGATGTTTTACTTATGTTTGACTATGTTTGAATATGTTTAGGGTATTGTGATTTTTCGTCCAAAATCCGCCTGTAGGGGGACATGCCCGACCTAATGTTAAACCTGTGTGTGGTTCCCTCGCGTCATCCTCCGCTTCTGCCGGGCGAGGGCGCTGGTAGTCTGCGACGTAAATGGTGGCGTCCTCGGTCACGAAGAGGCCTCGCGGAGGAGAACAGTGACGAAGAAAAGGGAGGCGTAAGAGGGGGGCCAGAAGGCGGAGCAGGAGACAGGCGAGGAGAGCTGTCAATGTGATAGGCCTTATCCTTCTCCTCGCCGTGTGAAGACTCAGGACGCAGTCTACGGAGCCATTGAAACCTGCGGAGCCTAGCGAAGACGACGCCGACCAGGAACCGCGATAATCGACAGGCCATGATCCTCGAGGGACCCCGTATGCCATGACAACATGGTCCTAGACGGCGTACCTGCTTGAGCTCGGCGAACGGGCGCGGCAGGAGTCGTAGATGGGATACGAACGCTAGCATGACAGAACTCTCGGACGGATAGTCGGGCAAGAAGAGTGTGATCAGCCCTCGGCCCTGGGCCAACGACACTGCGAGCCTCGAGCCTCGAGCATCCTCCTCCTCCTCCTCATCATCATCATCATCATCATCAGCAGCAGCCTCCTCAGCATCAGCATCAGCATCATCAGCAGCATGATCATCATCAGCAGCAGCATCAGCATCAGCATCAGCATCATCATACTCATCAGAATCATCATCGTCATCAGCATCAGCCCCAGCATCAGCATCAGCATCAGCATCAGCATCAGCATCAGCATAAACATCATATCGCCATCATCATCAGCAGCATCAGCAGCATCATCATCAGTATCGTTATCGCCAGCAGCATCAGCAGATCAGCATCAGTATCTTCATCATCATCAGCAGCATCGACGTCATCAGCATCATCAGCAGCAGCATCAGCAGCATCATCATTGTCATCATCACAATAATCAACATCATCAGCAGCAGCATGATCAGCATCGTCATCGGCAACATCGTTATCATCATCAGCAGCAGCAGCAGCAGCCTCTGCATGATCAGCATCAGTATCATCGTCATCACCATCATCATCATCATCGTCGACGTCATCAGCAGCATCGTCATCATCAGCAGCAGTATCATCATCATCATTATCATCATCATCATCATCATCATCATCATCATCATCACCATCATCATCATCCTCATCATCATCATCATCATCATCATCAGCAGCATCATCATCATCACCAGCAACATCAGTATCATCATCATCATCATCATCATCAGCAGCAGCAGCATCATCATCATCATCATGAGCATCATCATCATCATAATCAGCAGCATCAACATCATCAGCAGCATGATCATCATCATCATCATCATCATCAGCATCATCATCAGCAGCAGCATCATCATCGGGATGAGCATGGCATGAACCGCCTACTCGGCCATCGGGGAGGCGGATGGGGGGGGAAGGGAAGGGGATGGGGGGGCAGGAGAGGGGGAGACGTGGGGACAGGGCGGGGAGGCGACGGCGAGGGAGGCGGAGCCAGCGGGCAGAGTAGCAGAGGAGGGAGAGCTCGCAAGGGGGGGAAAGGGCAGGGGGTTGGTGACGACAGGGGGGGCGGTGATGGCGAGGAGGGCGAGCAGCGCTGACAGATGGAGATAAAGAGAGAGAGAGAGAGAAACAAAAAAAAAAATGGCAACACAAAAAACGGTGGCCAGGGACACACAAAGAAATGAACAATATTCCGAGAGTGCTGTGTGATTCCCCTATTTGGGGGATGTACGACTTCCCCCCCCAGTTCCCACATGTTCCATATTTGTCCCTAACTATCCTGTGGTGTTGGGTTCTCGTGTTGAAGAGACAGCGCCCCGCGTTCTCCCTCCTCCCGCTGCCCCCTGCTCCTCCTTCTCCTCCCCCTCCTCCCTCCTTCTCCTCCTCCTCCTCCTCCCCTCCTCCTCCTCCTCCACCTCCACCTCTCACCTCCTCCTCCTCCTCCTCCTGCTCATCCTCCTCCTCCTCCTCCTCCTCCTCCTCCTCCTCCTCCTCCTCCTCCTCCTCCTCCTCCTCCTGCACCTCCCATCCCAGATCCGACCCCTGTTTTTACCCTCCACGTGTCACTGTTTCGGCACACCCCTTGCACGCGTCGTACCCCCATATGGGAGCCCCACGGAAGGCTCCGGTGGCAGCGCCCGCATGCGGTTCCACCCCAATGTCGGCGAACCCCTCACACGTTTCGTGGCCGCGTACGGGACCTCCACCTGAGGCCCCAGTGGCAGCGCCCGCATGCGGTTCCACCCCCCATTTTGGCACACCCCTTGAACGCTTCGTGGCCCCATAGGGAGCTCCACCGAAGGCCCCAGTGGCAGCTCCCGCATGCAGTTCCACCCCCCTTTCGGTGCCTTTCGTGGCCCCATAGGGAGCTCCACCGAAGGCCCCAGGGGAAGCGCCCGCATGCGGTTCCACATCCGATTTCGGCAAACCCCTCACACGTTTCGTGGCCCCGTAGGGAGCTCCGCCGAAGGCCCCAGCGGCAGCGCCTGCATGCGGTTCTACCTCCATTTCGGCGCACCCCTCACATATTTCGTGGCCCAATAGGGAGCTCCACCGAAGGCCCCAGTGGCAGCGCCTGCATGCAGTTCCACCGTCCACTTCGGCACACCCCTTGCACGTGTCGTGCCCGTGTCCCCATAGGGAGCTCCACAGAAGGCCCCAGTGGCATCGACCGCATGTGGTTCCACCTTCCATTTCAGCGAACCCCTCATACGGTTCGTGGCCCAATAGAGAGCTCCACCGAAGGCCCCAGTTGCAGCGCCCGCATGCGGTTACACCCTGCATTTCGGCAAACCCCTCACATGTTTCGTGGCCCCATGAAGAGCTCCACCGAAGGCCCCAGGGGCAGCGCCCGCATGCGCTTCCACCCCCATGTCGGTGCACCCCTCACACGTTTCGTGGCCGCATAGGGAGCTCCACCGAAAGCCCAAGGGGCAGCGCCCACATGCGATTCCACCCCCCATTTTGGCGAACCCCTCAAACGCTTCGTGGCCCCATAAGGTGCTTCCCCGAAGGCCCCAATGGCCCCTGTTGCTGGCCCCCCTCCTTCCGTTCATTTTCCTCGCGATGCTCGAAGGCCCCAGTGGCAGCGCCCGCATGGCGGCCCCGCCCCAGTTCGGCACACCCTTCACGCGCTTCGTGGCCCCATTGGGGGAGATCCACCGAAGGCGATACTCGCAACGCCGGTGCCTTCGACTGCATCTGGTTGGGTCCTTCGACAGGCTGAAGCAGGGGATCGCCGAGGATTTATGTCTGTGTGCTCCTCAATCCCACCTGAGAAAAAAAGAGAGAGAGAGAACAGGAAGAGGAGGATGAGGAGGCGGAGGAGGCGGAGCGGGAGGAGGAGGAGGAGGAGGAGGAGGAGGAGGAGGAGGAGGACCTCGAGGAGGAGGAAGAAGAAGAAGAAGAACAACGCCGAAGCGAACGAGTCTCGAGACGAAGAGAGAGAGAGAGAGAGAGGTCACATCGGAGAGCTCGTGCCCACGGGATGGTTCAGCTGGTCCCAGCGGAAGCCCTTGCCTGCGCCCGCGGGCGCGCGCGCCCCCTGCCTCGAGGCACCCCCCCTGCTGCTCCGGAGAGCCGCCGCGGCACGCGCGGGCGGCAGCGGCGCGCGGGCGGCGGCGGCGGCAGGCCCCGGCAGCGCGGCACGCGGGCCGGCGGCGCACACTCGTCGCGGAGAGGAGTGCAGGAGCTTCGCGGGTGGGGGGCGGCGTCTCTTCAAAACGTGGCTCTCGCCTTGCGAGCGCTGTTTACTCGGCGTTTCGACATTGGGCGGAAGGGGAGGGGGAGGGGTGGGGTCTGGCTCCGGACCTCTGCTCCACGCGACTGTTCGGAACCGCGCGTCCTCTCGGGGAAACTCCACCTGCTCGAAACAGGCGCCAAAAACAGGCAAGATCTATGCCACGGGAGGGGGGGAGGGGGGGGGGTGCGAGGGCCCGTGCCGATCGGGCAAAATAGTGAATAAGAAAACTGCTCCTCAGCGCCGTGCACACTCGCCTTCAGAATGGACAACAGGTCCAAGGATGACCCTGGCAAACGACCCAGAAACGGGTGCCCCTCCTCCTCCTCCTCCTCCTCCTCCTCCTCATCCTCCTCCTCCTCCTCTCCTCCTCCTCCTCCTCCTCCTCCTCCTCCTCCTCCTCCTCTTCCTCCTCTCCTCCTCCTCCTCCTCTCCTCCTCCTCCTCCTCCTCCTCTCCCCTCCCCCTCCCCCGTCCCCATCCATCCTCCGCCTCCTCCTCCTCCTCCTCCTCCTCCTCCTCCTCCTCCTCGACTCCTCAGCACATGCTCATGCTCCTCGCTCCTGCTCCTGCTCCTGCTCCTGCTCCTGCTCCTCCTCCTCCTCCTCCTCCTCCTCCTCCTCCTCCTCCTCCTGCCTCCTCCTGCGCCTCCTCCTCCTCCCTCCCTCCCTCCCATTCCCTCCCTCCCTTCCCTCCCTCCCTCCCAGCCCTCCCGCCTCCCGCCCTCCCGCGCCTCCCGCCCGTCCCTCCACTCCTTCCCCTCCCTCCCTCCCCTCCTCCCTCCCTCCTCCCTCCCTCCCTCCCTCCCGCCTCTCCTCCTCTTCCTCTTACTCCTCTCCTCCTCCTCCTCCTCGCCTCCTCCTCCTCCTCCTCTCCTCCTCCCCCTCCTCCTCCTCCTCCTCCTCCTTCCTCCATCCTCCTCCCTCCCTCCTCGTCCTCCCTCCTCCTCCTCCTCCTACTCCTCCTCCTCCTCCTCCTCCTCCTCCGCCTCCTCTCCTCCCTCCTCCCTCCTCCTTCTCCTCCTCCTCATCCTCATCCTCCTCCTCCTCCGCCCCCTCCCTCCTCCTCCTCCGCCTCCTCCTCCCTCCGCTCCCTCCTCCTCCTCCTCCTCCTCCTCCCCTCTCCTCCTCCTCCTCCTCCTCCTCCTCCTCCTCCTCCTCCTCCTCCTCCTCCTCCTCCTCCTCCTCCTCCTCCTCTCCTCCTCCTCCTCCTCCTCCTCCTCCTCCTCCTCCTCCTTTCCTCCTCCTCCTCCTCCTCCTCCTCCTCCTCCTCCTCCTCGTGCCTCGCCCGGCCTCGTCCTGCGCACTCGCCCCTCCTCGCGCATGCCGCCCCCTCAGGGCCCCTCCCAGCGCCCGCTGCTCCACCCGAGAGGCGCGAGGGGGAGCGGCGGCCCCCCGCGGGCGGAGGCTCCGTTGCCGCCCGCGACGGTGACCCCCTGCACGGCCGCTGGAGGACGGGCCGCCCCTCCTTCGGCCTCGGGCCTCCCGCCTCCCGCCTCTGGCCTCCAGCCTCCTGCTTCATGCCTCCCCTCCTGCCTCCTCCAGCCTCTGGCCTCCTGCTTCCTGCCTGCTGCCTCCTGCCTCCTGCCTCCTGCCTCCTGCCTCCTGCCGCCTGCCTCCTCCTCCCCCTACTCCTCCTCCTCCTCCTCCTCCTCCTCCTCCTCCTCCTCCTCCTCCTCCTCCTCCTCCTCCTCCTCCTCCCCCGCCTCCTCATCCTCCTCCTCCGCCTCCTCCTCCTTCGCCTCCTCCTCACACTGCCCCTTGTCCTCCTCTGTCGACCTTTCTCCTCCCCCATCCCAATTCCTCATGAATAACTCTTCCCTTTCGGCCCCCAGACGTGACGGTAGGGCGGACAGGGCGTTTCGCCTGAGACTCCTTCACGACGTATCTTCCTCAAGCTGGAAATTTGCAACAGCTTCACAGATGAAGGACGGGTCGTTTTCAAAAGGTTGCTCTCGCAATAGCGCCGCGCACATGTGTCCTACCAGTTTGCAACAGTTGCACGGATGGAGGGCGGGTTGGTTTCAACATGTGGCTCTCGCCGTAGCGCCGTGCAGATTCTTTGTTTAAAGGTCGCAGCAGGTTAACGGATAGAGGGCGGTTGCTTTTCAAAATGTGAGTCTCGGATTGGTTCCGCGCACAATCGACTTAAAAACTGTGCAACAGCTTGAAGAATTTGTATTGTAGTGGCGAACTCACAGGAACGGTGTTATGGCATGATTTGGGATTGTCCGAACGCAACGTGCAAGTTCATGCGACGTGTTGAAATCCCAGAAGCTCTGGTCTGCCACGATGTAACATTCTCGGGACGCAACATTCACGTTGGTTCGCGGCGCTGGCGTCCAAGGAATTACGTTTCGGAACAAGTGAGGATTCTCAACTGGTTGCGTTCAATGGCGCACGTCCAACATTACAATCGATTACTACAGGGACCTATGAGCAGAGAACTTCGAGGGCGGGTATATTGAAACATCGGCAGTGCGTTTTGGGCTTGCATTGGTCCTCCTCCTCCTCCTTCTCCTCCTCTTTCTCCTCCTCCTCTTCTTATTCTCCTTCGTATGTTTCTTCTTCTTGTTCCTCCTCCTCCTCCTCCTCCTCCTCCTCCTCCCCCTCCTCCTCCTCCTCCTCCTCCTCCTCCTCCTCCTCCTCCTCCTCCTCCCCCTCCTCCTCCGCACCCTCCGCCGCCCCCTCCGCCTCCTCCTCCCCATCCTACTCCTCCTCCCCCCCCTCCTCCTCACGCCTCCTCCTCCTCCTCCTCCTCTCCTCTCCTCCTCCTCCTCCTCCTCCTCCTCCTCTCCTCCTCCTCCTCCTCCTCCTCCTCCTCCCCTCCTGCTCCTGCTCCTCCTCCTCATCCTCATCATCCTCCTCCAACTCTTGCCTCCTGCCTCGAAGTCATCCACTCCTCCATCTCTTCTCCTTGGATATTTGCCAACGTGCCCCGAGGCAAAAGTGTCACCAGGTCTCTGAGAGCCCTCTCTGTACGGAGTACTGTAATGCTCTTTTGAGGGACCCGCAGCCCAGAGTCCTGGGCACTGCCAGGCTCTCCCCGGCGCTATCGAGAGCTCCCAGGTCTTGCTGCGTGTTGTCGCTAGGCCAGCCAGCCTGAGTGCAAGTACTGCTTAGGGAATAAGCTCATAGATTCTACAGGGTAACTCAGTGGGACAGATCGTCGGTGCGACCTTTCGCTGCATCGCTGCACATGAGAAGAGAGGACGAGAGGACGAGAGGACGAGAGGAGGAGGAGGAGGAGGAGGAGGAGGAGGAGGAGGAGGAGGAGGAGGGGGAGGAGGAGGAGGAGGAGGAGGAGGAGGAGGGCGAAGAAGGACAAGGAGGAGGAAAGGATCGGCTGGCCCATCATATCGACACCCACCGCCTCCTCATCCTCCGAAGACGACGACCAAGAGGACGACCACAACAGCGACGACAACGACCACGACCACGACCACGACCACAACCACGACGCTTACGACGACGAGGACGACGACGATGACGACGGCGGCGGCGACGACGGTGGCGACGACGACTGGGCCCACCGGATCGCGCGCGGCCCGGAGGAAGGGGAGAGGGCGGAGGAAAGGCAGGGTTTGAGAGGAGAGGCGGAGGACGAGGAGGAGGACCCAGGCATACGATCTCTTGATTTGTTCAAGCCGGTGTCACTGAAAATCCCGACTCTTTCCACAGGGTTGGTTCTTCATCTCGAATCGTTTTTCGACGGTCCCACGGCCTGGTGAGAGCGCCCCTGGAGGCCAGAAATTAGTAAAAGCCTCTGTCCGAATTTCTATCATAACGCTGGACGTCCTGGGGAGCCCCTCCGCGCCGCCTGCGTCGCGCCTGGAGACCACTTCTGGATGCGGTTGTTGCCGCTGTCGGACACGAAGAGCGCCCTGCGCATTTGGTGCGCCAAGCCGCTCCCCCGGAGATTGTTTTCTATTATTTCCGGTAACGATCGTGACCCGGGGGGCAGCCCCAGGTAACGGTGACGCATGGGTGGGGCACGTCGGGCCAGGGTGCGACGCGATCGCCTTCGTATGCGCGCGAGCACCAGCATGTGGAGCCCATTGTTTATCGTTCGCGATAACACTCGTTACAGGCCCCGCCCTCCCCCCCCTGGTCACGTCACGATTCGCGCCAGAACCGTCTGAGAATTAGCCATTCCCCGACATTCCAAGACGGCGCTGGCGCAAATCATGACATGACAAGCCCCCTCCCCCCCCCCCTGGTCACGCGTTTTATTGCCAGGGGATGAAAAAATGGGCTCCTGGGGGGGTCGAGGCCCCCCCGCTCTGGTGGCAACTCAGGGAAGCCTTCCATGCCGTCTTGCTGGCCCTTGCGAACCGACGCTGTCCGACGCTAATCGACGCTAAGTCGACGCGAATCGGCGCTAGATCGGAGTACTTGTTTAATCGATTACCGGCTGCTGGCGCACGCCGGCTCGCCATCGCTCGGACGTCCAGTCCCCGTGCATGTTTCAAATTCGCGCGCGTCTGCTTCGCAAGAGGACCCGAGAGTGCTCCTCGGTGGCCCTCGCCGGGAAACAATGCACACGTCCGAACGACGCCAAGCTGGTGCGTGAGCTGCTGCCGAAGGTTTGGCCCCGGCAGCGGCCGCGGCGCGCCAAGAGGCTCACGAGAACCGCCCCCCTCCTGGCAGCCGAGGGCTGCTGGGCGCCCCCGGGGGGGCCCCCCTCCCCAGCGGAAGAGGTCGCCCCAGGGAAGAGGAGGAGGAGGAGGACGAGGAGGAGGAAGACGAGTAGGAAGGGGGAGGAGGGAGGAGGGGGGGGCCACATGTGAACCACGGGGGGAGTGCCACATGCGAACCCTGCCCGCACCCCCCACGATCTCAAAGGGGGGGGGGGGAGGCTCACTCCGCTCGGGAGCTCCCGAACGGAGCGAACTCCCCCCCCAGAACTAAATCGTGGGGGGTGGGGGTAGGGTTCACATGTGGCCACCGACTCGGGGGGGGAGGCGGGGGGCCTGTCGCCGGCGGCGAGCGCGGGGGGGGAAGCGAGAAGATGAAGGCCCGCTCGGAAGGCCGCGGGGCCCCTGAGAAGCCCTCTGCAAGCAAGAAAGCAAGCAAGCAAGAAAACCATGCATGCATCCTGAGGGACGCGTGAGCTGATCGGCAAGGACACTCATGATTCATGGCAGAATTCGCTGCGACTAACTAAACGCAATCAGCCAGACTCGCGCAGTCGACGCCACCGAGGCCTGGACGAAGCAGACGAGGAAGTGGAGGAAGAGGAAGAGGAGGAGGAGAAGGAGGAGGAAGAGGAGGCCGAGGAGGAGCAGGAGGAGGAGGCGGAGGAGGCGAACAGGTAAGCCTTCTGAGAAATCTCCTGTGCCTCCGGGGAGGGCTCGGAAAACTTCTCGGGAGGCCAGGGGACGTCCGGGCCCTCCGAGAAGGCCCGTCCCCTCTCGCTCCCCCCCCCGCCACCCGGGGCTCGCCGTCGATGTGCCGCTCTCCGCGGGAGCGGAGCAGGGCCACCACCACCATCGAGCCGACAGCGTCGGGAGGGCGCGTGGCCAGACGAGTGTGCGGTCGGCAGCCCCTCGGGAAAATAGCGAGGAAAGCGCTGCAGAGCGGGACGCCTCACGACGGTGACGCCGAGTGGGCAGAGCCCGGGGCAAACACGGAGGGGCCCTCCGTGGGGCGAGGGCGGGGGCGAAGCCAGGGGCAAGACGAGAGCAGGAGCAAAGACCGGGCCAAGGAGCAGAATGGAAAGGAGGAGGAACAGGCCGAGGAAAGGAGGAGGAGGAGGAGGAGGAGGAAGAACAGGAGGAGGAGGAGGAGGAGGAAGAAAAGGCCGAGGAAAGGAGGAGGAG